ACTGTGCCCCACAGGGTTCTCAGTGGATGATGTTTCATAAGTAGATTCCACTCATGGTGCCCCGTGTGTGTCAGAGTAGAACTGTGCTCACAGGGTTCTCAGTGGATGATTTTCATAAGTAGATCCCACTCGTGGTACCCCCGTGTGTGTGTCAGAGTAAAACTGTGCTCCACAGGGTTCTCAATGGATGATGGTCCATGAGTAGATTCTACTCTTGGGGCCCTGTGTGTGTCAGAATAGAACTGTGCTCACAGGGTTCTCAGTGGGTGATTTTTCATAAGTAAATCCCACTCATTCTCCCTTTGTGTATGTCAGAGTAGAACTGTGCTCCACAGGGTTCTCAGTGGATGATGTTTCATAAGTTGATTTCACTCATGATTTCCCCGTGTGTGTCAGAGTAGAACTGTGCTCCACAGGGTTCTCAGTGGATAATTTTTCATAAGTAGATCCCACTCATTCTCCCTTTGTGTGTGTCAGAGTAGAACTGTGCTCCACAGGGTTCTCAGTGGATGATGTTTCATAAGTAGAACCCACTCGTGGTACCCCCGTGTGTGTGTCAGAGTAGAACTGTGCTCCACAGGGTTCTCAGTGGATGATGTTCCATAAGTAGATTCTACTCTTGGGGCCCCGTGTGTGTCAGAATAGAACTGTGTCCACAGGGTTCTCAGTGGATAATTTTTCATAAGTAGATCCCACTCATTCTCCCTTTGTGTGTGTCAGAATAGAACTGTGCTCCACAGGGTTCTCAGTGGATGATGTTTCATAAGTTGATTTCACTCATGGTTTCCCTGTGTGTGTCAGAGTAAACTGTGCTCCACAGGGTTCTCAGTGGATGATTTACATAAGTAGATCCCACTCATGGTGCCCCCGTGTGTGTCAGAGTAGAACTGTGCTCCACAGGGTTCTTAAAAAGTGGATGATTTTTCATAAGTAGAGTCCACTCATGATGCCCTCTGTGTGTCAGAGTAGAACTGTGCTCCAGAGGGTTCTCAGTGGATGATGTTTCATAAGTAGATTCCACTCAAGGTGCCCCGTGCGTGTCAGAGTAGAACTGTGCTCACAGGGTTCTCAGTGGATGATGTTTCATAAGTAGATCCCACTCATGGTGCCCCTGTGTGTGTGTCAGAGTAGAACTGTGCCCCACAGGGTTCTCAGTGGATGATATTTCATAAGTAGATTCTACTCATGGTGCCCTGTGCATGTCAGAGTAGAACTGTGCCCACAGGGTTCTCAGTGGATGAATGTTAAATAAGTAGATTCCACTCATGATGCCTCCATGTGCGTCAGAGTAGAACTGTGCTCCACAGGGTTCTCAGTGGATGATGTTTCATAAGTAGATTCTACTCATGGTGCCCCCATGTGTGTCAGAGTAGAACTGTGCCCCACAAGGTTCTCAGTGGATGAATTTTCATAAGTAGATCCCACTCATGGTG